TTTTTCTCTAGCTAGCTTCTTTTGTAGCTAGATAAATCTTCGACAGCGGCGTGATTCATTTGATTTTGCGATTTAATTGCGATTGTACAGCGCTCATGAAGGCAAACGATCAGGTGGGCGTCAGGAAGCGAGCCCCTCCGTCATTCAAGAGGACGGCGGGTTGTAACCCCAGAGGCTGTACTCATCTCACTGTTCAAAGCTGGGATGTAAATGCGCTAGGACCATAATCCCCTGACGTGATTGCCCTAAAAGAGGGGTGCGTCGATGTCTGTCGTCTCGCACATCTGTCTGCTCTATTATCTGTCATGTCTGTTCCCTGGTCTGCGCTCTCTATTTTTCTTCGGACGCCCTTTTCCACCAATGATACCATCCTCGCGGCACGGAAAAGACTGCCCTTGCTGTGTTTCAATCCACGCCTTTTCCCACGCACTCTCGTTTGCAGGGATGATAACTGTACGTTCGGCGAGGACCAATTGTCAATAGTCATGGCAAGGTTTCTGCGAACCGCGACAACTCGGATCTTCTGACCTATTTCGGGGAGTAACATAGCGTCGCGCTCAAATTGACGCGACGAAGACGCGCGGCTTTCAATTTGATGTCGTCGCGTTCGTCTAGCTGCAAATTTGCTTAGCCCATGTCGTCTCTGTTTGAAGTGAACTTTATTCCACACCTATATGTTTTAGCTCACATCTCCATGATGGCTTACGGTAGCGGTAATAAAGCAGCTGATCTCTTGCCGTTAGCGGCTCACACAGGTAAAGACTGCCCATTCTAAAAGTTTCATGGCGCGGCGTGCCTTCCCAAAAATAAATGCACTCTTCTCAATGGAAGTTTTTCAGATATGACCCAAGGCTTTACCAACCTCCAAAGATGGTATAATGGGACTTTCTTCACCACATCAACGGTGCCTACTACGTCTACGACAGCGGCTCCAAGCAAAGCTACTACCACAAAGGCGCCGTCAACCAAGGCTCCTACAACAACGACATCTAAAGCGCCTTACTACTACAACAAGCAAAGCACCCTCTACCTCAACGACGAAAGCGCCTTCCACCTTAACGACGAAACCAAAAGAGCCCGAAGCTTTTGAAGGTACGGCAACTTCATTGTTTATAGTTTTATTAGCGGCCTTTCTGTTGATACGTGTCCAGTTGACACTAGTGAACTTAGAAGTTCCAGATTTCGCAGTCGGCACTCCGATCACATCCGACGATATCGACAGGTTTGTCTTTATTTGTCAATTTTCGTATGAGAGTCACGATTCAGGTCATGGATTGAAGGCAGTGAGGAAGATGGCTGGGGTGGGCGGGGTTGCTGCTCAAGGAATTGGTGAAGAGCTGCGAGAGGCTCTGAATCACAATTTCAACTCAGGGCCTTTCACAATGATGTTGCAGATAACCGCCCGCCCAAGCCATCGTATCCTCTTTCTTTTAATACAAAAACCGCGATAACATCAAATCAGAATGGTCAAAATGTGAAACTGTAGGCGCTAATTGATGCGCTAGTGGGGGGGGGGGGGTGTGGAAGGGAGGAAGGAACGGAAAACCAGTATGGATGGATACAATATCCAGCTGGATTTTCCTAAACTTGTAATCTTGTGACTTGAACATCAGCTCCAGCAAGTAATTTTGAATATTGGTCATATCGCATTCAATAAGCCACTGCAATTGTGGATGGAGGTTTGCGTGCCCAAAAAGGGACTGATCAACGACGTAAGGTTTGCCTTTTATCCTCCGCGTAGCGAAGAATGTCATTGGTCAGGGTGAAAACAGGTAGGAATCGTTACGAAAGTTATCTTACCACAAGTCAGAGTTAGCAGAGTCACGTCGCTCGACATGATAGAATGATTGCGGCGCTCAGGCGATAGCGATAGGCGCGCTATCGAACCTCGGAAGTGGACCAGGCGCAGCAACCGTCGGGGGCGTAATTGGCAGCTGTAAGGGGTCTTATGAAGCTGTGAGTGATGGTTTTCACCGTTTCACACGCGCTACACACCTCGCGTAACAAAACTACTATTTCTTATGGCCAATCAGGCTTACCCTCCTTCCCCGCCTGGAGGGAAAACGACGAAAATTACTGGAAAATTGGTGGCAAAATAATATGAGAAAGGGGGTCGTTCTAGAGGAGGAACTGGGGGGGGGAGAGAGTTGTATTATAGGAACAACTTCCACACTGAACTTTGACTCCAAAATTCGTTTCCACCACTGATCACTGATGGCTTTTGGTCAATCAGTGATGTCACTCTTATCACTGCGAGCAAGCTATAAGCAGCGCTGAAGTGATAACAGTATTCTGCTCGTTTGGAGGAGGCAATTTGTGGTCGGTAAGGGTGACGATATTCTTCGAAGTAATGGAACATTTCGTAAAAAGAGTGGGGATCCTCCATCGAAAGCAGAGCTGGAAATAAACACTGGGACAACAACAACGAGGGATAGCCGTATTCAGAAAATTCAGAGGGGAAAAGTGCAGGAAAAATGCAGGGGTGGTGTCGTTTCTTCGAAGGAGATACCAACTGTTATAGGAGCTTACCCATCTGTTCCGCTTGACGAATATAAAGGATAAAGTCTTCGCCGTTGATCAATCCCTTTGTGGGATGCGGCACGCATTCTACTTCCATTCAGAATCGTAGTGGCTTATTGAATGCGATGTGGCCTATACAATGACTTGCGGTGGCCAGCCGATGTACAAGTCAGTGTTTTATCCTCGGTACCAATACCGTCCCCAGAGGATCGAAGGCTTGGTGGCCTAGGCGGGAGTCGGCCCGGGACCTGGCGCCGCGCGAG